CTGGCTGCCGGTTACAATAGCCAGATGGAACCGTGGCTTGCAGAATAACAACCAACACTTATTATATGGGCCATTTGCTTTTCAAATAGCCATTATTTCACTCAGCGTTCAAACACATGTAATAACCCTGAGTCCTAATTTGGCAGCTCAGCCTGTTGCCAGGCTTTGTTAGAGATGGCAGAGCAGCTTCCCAGAGCCCTAAGTAGGACAGATGAGAGCGTTGCCCGATTGCACTGATTGCACTTGGTGTCTTGTCCACCCCATTATTTTTGAATGCTTTTCTAGAAATGAAGAGTTTTCCTTTCTCTTCTTCGCAAGGCAAAACTACCCCAAGAGGCCGGGGAGCTGATCTTAGTTTCCACCAGATGAAGGTTTCATCCATTCCCTTTCCAAGGTACATATATGCACTGAGTTCCCACTCAGAAGTACACATGGAAGTCTTACTGAATTCCTTTCTGAATTTTATGCTAAAATTAGTCAAAGGTACCATAGACAAGATCATTGTAGGAAGGTGAGAAAAGAAGCCAGGTTGGATGCGGCTTGGAACAACCTGGTCTAGTGGAAGGTGTCCCTGCCTGTGGCAGGAGGCTGGAACTGGATTAAGTTTAAGGTCCCTTCCAATTCAAACCATTCTAGGATTACTACAAGAAAATACTTTTCTCATTCCCTACCCTGTTGTTAAATCTGCAGAACCCCCTGTTTAACCGTACAATCTGCTTGTTATCTCTTCCATAGCCTAAAAGCAACTACATTCTTTCCATTCCGAATTCAAGTCCAGAGCCTAGCCTAAAGAAGAGAAGGCTCAAAGAGATCTTATTAACGTATATAAATTCCTGAAGGGAGGGTGCAAAGAAGATGGGGCCAAGCGCTTTTCAGTGCTGCCCAGTGACAGGCCCAGAAGCAATGGGCACAAAGTGAACCACAGGAGGCTCTGTCTGAACACCAGGAAGCACAGCTTTCAGTGTGAGGGTGACCGAGCACTGGCACAGGCTGCCCAGGGAGGTTGTGGTGTTTTCCTCCTTGGAGATATTCAAAAGCCACCTGGACAGAGCCCTGGGCAACTGGGTCTAGGTGATCCTGCCTGAGCAGGAGGGTTGGAGCAGATGACCTCAACCATTCTGTGATGGATAATGCTAATAATGGCTCCAATCCCACACATGCAGTACCTGACGTAAGTGTACTCTGCTCATCCCCTTGCTCAAGTATAGAAGATACAGAAAGCTGAAGACGTTTGGCAAATACGAAATTATGTCATAGGTTATAACTTACTAGTTTATTATACCACAGAAATCAAGAGTGAACGCTATCTCCATCAGAACTAGATGAAAATCATTAATAAATAATAATTAGCTGTTTCCTGGGCCTGCCATCTGGTAAGCAATTTTCCCAGCCAGCTCCTTGCACTTCTCCAAAGCAGCTAAAGATGAAGACAGGGTCTTCCTTCTCCTCTGTCTGTCCCTTTGGGAAACTCAGAAACCCAGGATGCTGACCATCCTCCCCATTGGACCTCAGCATTCCACACGGACAGGGCTTCACTGACCCTCCTGCTTATTGCGATTCTTAAGCAGTAAGGAGCTAGACATTACTGAGACCTGCCTTCCATCCTGCCTCAGAAACATGTGGGTTCTAAGCTCACCAAATTAATCATTCTAACCTGTAAGTGGCTGTCATTAGTATTATTATTTTCATCATATAAATTATCTTCCAGATTAGGTCATATGCATTTTGAGATCCTGCGGTTTCCTAGCAACTCCTCTCACCACTCCACATGCAGACACAATGTGCCAGCTTCTTTTCCTTTTTTAGACTCTCCGTGCAGGGGTTATATTCAGTAACAGTGATCTCAGGCCTGGCCCTAATGACCTTTAGTCTGTCACAGTTGTGGATGAGATGCAGAAGACAGATATCACAGATATGCCCCCTCAAAAGGCATTTACAGCAGATGGCCAGGAAAACATGGTCCTCCACTTGTCTCTCTTCTGTCCTGCAGACCAGGAGTCCTGAGCTCTGCAGGACAGGGATGACAAGAGCACACCCACACGTGTCACTGGCAGAATCTGGAAGACCCCATCAGCCTAATTCTAGCTTCTGACAGTGATGGATGTGACTGTACATAGCATGGTTCCCTGCAAAATCCTGCTGCTCCAAAGCTTTCATGGGGAGGCCTGAGTTCAAGGCTTTTGCTTCTGTAATTTACCCCTGGGAAGAGGCAGCTTTTCCTGCTTCCTCACTGTACCAAGCCTTACACTGCTGCCAAGTGCTCTTCATGTTCTCAGTCCACTTTGCTCAGTCACATAGAACAGCATCAAACCTGCTGCAGGTGTCCGAGGGGAGCGCTCTGCTGCTCGAGCCCTTTGTTACTGCCAGTACTGCATCCCTCATAAACATACAACAGGTACCTAAATATCACATAAAGCTTGTGACACTCCATGGCCATGCTTTCCAAATAACACACATTTACACACAGACTTTCCCATAAAGACATGAACTCTACTTTAAGAGTTGTTTCCAGTCTCATGGAAGCCAAACCAACTTTAGGCACCAGTTTTAATTAACTTCTCTGGCTGAGTTAACCAAGGTACGTACCAAATTTAATCACGATGGGGCACAGAGTTAGGCCATGTGACTAACCCAGACAATCTTTTGTGGAAGGGGAATAGGCTTCACTTCTGGCCTGCCCCAGTGACATTTGTGAAAATAACAGTGCCTGTTCTAAACTCCAAAACCACAGGGCTTAATTATTTAGATAGTGGCCCTGTTTCAGAGAAGAAAAGAGAACAGACCTCAGAAACGAACCATCCTCAGTCCACATGGAGTACAGCTATTAATATTTGATCCCCTGTTAGCCTGGAGGCAGAGGGAATAATGCTCATTACAAAAGCCTGAGACTGACTCCACTTTAACAACTGGCTGAACCGACGATGAGGATAGAACCCTTCCTGCTGCAGGTGAGAAGTCAGGGACTCTGGCAATGCCTTCAGCAAAGGAGCTGTTGCTTCATCAAGCACAGTAAGAACTGGAAGCCTTCTGTGGTTGCCATCAGAGCCTCATTGTAAAGACCATCACTGAATCCAATACCCAGCAGAAAGTAAGGAACAGAAACACAAAGGCATACACTTGCAAATAGAAGTAATTTAGGGACTGTAGTGATAGGACAAGGGGTAACAGGTTCAAACTTAAACAGGGGAAGTTTAGATTGGATATAAGGAGGAAATTCTTTCCTGTAAGGGTGGTGAGGCACTGGAATGGGCTGCCCAGGGAGGTTGTGAATGCTCCATCCCTGGCAGTGTTCAAGACCAGGTTGGACAGAGCCTTGGATGAGATGGTTTAGTGTGAGGTGTCCCTGCCCATGGCAGGGGGTTGGAACTGGATGATCTTCAGGTCCTTTCCAACCCTAACTATTCTATGATTCTAATTTAATGGAACTGTAATTAATAGGAACAGAGAGGCAATGCATGGAATATCCTCAGTCCCTTATCCCCTGCTCTCTCCCCCTAACTCATACCCAGTAGTAGCAGTCTCTGGGGTCTTTGCTCCAAATGACAGCCTCAGCCCAGTCCTATCTGGGGCCCAGAGCAACACAGCAGTTGGGAAAGCCTTCAGCAAAACTGCAGCTTCGGTTTCACTGTCCTGTTGGATACCCAGCCTTGCAAATACACCTCACGTCCTTACACAGAGAGCCCTGTGAGATAGCTCAACCTCACTCTCATCTCACTACCATTGGAGTCTCAACGATAAAATGGGACAATGAAATCTAGGTGAAGTATAGAAAAGAAAGTCAATTTTGGATGTCCCCATTTTGGGTGTCAAAGGAAGATGTATTTTTCAGACTGGTCGTGCTCTGTGTCACCCAATTAAAGCTGCAAACTGGGATCCTGTACGTGTCTTTGCTGAGAAACTGCTTAAGCAGAAGCTCTTAAGGTTAAACAAATCTTTCAGATATTGAGGGCCAGAACCACTCACACGTGTACAGTAACAGAGCTCCTGGATTTATTACACTCTGGACCCACTGCAGATATTTGCCTCTTGGCTTTACTCTTCCTACAGTGTATACCCATTAGCACCTCTAATTAGAAAGGAAAATCACGAGTTCCATGTTATTTAAAAGATTATGCATCGTTTTAAACTCCAGCACAATGTAATTATTTTTTAATAGCCGCAGCTATTTCATGTATTTACTTTCAATGGTGTTTGAGTCATAAATTCATAGTAGAAAAGAAAAAGGCAAATCAGCACTTGACAGAGACTGCTTCTAAAAGAAAAACTGCAACGCTAACAACCGAGTGATCAAAAAAGGAAGAGGGACTCACTAGTTTTCCTTGTTTGCTTTATTCTGGACTGCTTTTTATCATCTAACTTGGCCCCTTGGAAGTCAAGAAGGTCAGGGACAAATGAAAATGAGAAGAGTTGAATCACAGCATCCCAGACTGGTTTAGGTTGGAAGGGACCTCAAAGTTTATCCAGTTCCAACCCCTGCCACGGGCAGGGACCCCTTCCACTAGAGCATCTTGCTCCAAGCCCCTGTGTCCAACCTGGCCTTGAACACTGCCAGGGATGGGGCAGCCACAGCTTCTCTGGGCACCCTGTGCCAGCGCCTCAGCACACACCAGGAATATGTCCAAGACAAGTGTCTCTAGTCACTGTGCATCTCACCCCCCAAAAATTATTAACTTTTAATTAAAAACATTTTAAAATAGTCTTTTAAAAGACAATGAACTTTTGCAAGGATAAACAAATCTGCAGGACCCCATTTCTTATCTCTGGAAGGGCTGTTAACACTCTGTGGCAGATTACATCCTTCAGACAGATCTACTCATCCAACTCCTGGACACTGAGCTGCTCCCCACAGCACCTTGTCCTGGCTGTGCACCCCTTGTATTTCACCCCCAGGCTTTTTCAGCAGAGCGAGAACCTCAGTTTTGCCTCCTCCTGGTACTGCCAGCACAGCACCAGGCACACAGTGCTCCAGGCTCTAACTTCAGCTTTTTTTCTGTCCACAGAAAGCCCGGCTTGCAAGGATTCGAGTGGCCAAGACGGGCAGCTCCAATGCCTACCTTCACAGCAAGCGCAACGGCCTCCTCAATGAAGCCCTTGAGCTGACGGTAGGTGCAGAACCACAGGGCTTCAGATGTTCCCTATTCCCACTCCTGTCCCTGGGCTCCTTCCCTTTCTCTCTCCGTTGCCACCTAAGTGCTCATTATCCAGTGTGGCAGCCTCCCACAAGGGATGGTGCTGTGCTCCTGTGACACTCTCATGTGCTGTATGGGCTGTGCGGAGGGAGAGCTGGAATCCAGCTGCAAGATGGGATGGGAGGAAGCAGCTTCCTGTACTCCTTTTGGAGACAGGGGACAGGGAAGGATCTGGCCTTCCAGCAAGTGCCATGTGCACAGTTCCCTCAAATCCCTATGCTTGGTGGAGCTGATTTATACAGCCCAGGGACTGCCTATCACTATCCACTCTCTTCCAATATACAGTGAGTTATTTTCATGAGTTTCTTGCTACTATGGACTATCTGGTCATGCCCAACAGCAAAATATTCCCTAGTTCTTGTTCCAGGCAGTTTGGTGGTGGGTTTATTTCTAACAGAAAGGCCTCTGGAGGCTAATACTAGCTGTCCATGAGAAGAAAAGTTCTGAGTGCATTCAACTGCTCAGCAGAACCAGCTGAAACAAGAGGAGGTGATTACATGAAGCCCAGTCCACACCAGAGCAGGTATTCGCCCATCTCATGGATTTAAGTTGAAATAAATCAGCCTGTTGTGCACATGTGGAGCAAAGAGTGAGATGAAGAGGGCGTGATGGAGTCATCAGAGCTGCCCAGCCCTCATTCATGCATCCTTACTTCAGGCCTTATCCTTCACATGTACATTATTTTCCCCTTGCACTTCTAAAATGGAAGGGTTTTCAACTCATGGTGAAAGCTGCTCACTAGGACCTGAGCCCACTCCTACCCCAGCTCAGTGGGTGCAGCACACAGAGGGAAATTGGGCAGCACCATGTTTTGCATGTGGGATGCTCCTCAGTGCAGACCAAGGCAGAGGAGCCTTGCTATTTACCACTGAAAGAGCTTTTAAGCTGACTCTAAAAAAGCACTTCACATGAAGTACAGACTTGGAAGGTGGGATGCCCAGAGCAGTTTCTGTTCTCCCCTCCAAAACAAGTTTGATCCTTCTGACTACACATCTCACGTTGTCTCCTGCTCTGCAAGTGGCAGCAACACTCAGAAAAATCTGTTTCTTGAACCATATGTTGCTGTTGAGCAGTTCAAGAAACGTTTCCTTACCAAGAAGCAACCAGGAAGACTGGTCACACCTCGTCCAGAGCCTTCTCCCCAAGGAAGGAAAGGCTCGGGACGGGATGACAGCTCAGCTGAGATTCTGCTGTTCCATTACCCAGGAACATGTAAAAATGTGACTGCAAATTTAGTTCTGATTTCTAGTTTATAAAACCACCAGCAGGGACACTCCATTTGCACTTGATCTTCCAGCCTGTCATCCCAACAAGAATCTCCTCACTTCTCTCGTCAACCAAAGCTCCCTGCCAAGACCACTCAGGGAGGAGCAGCTGACGCACCGATGCTCGAGTCCAAAATGCATGAGGTTGAGAGAAATACTTGGCTGAATGGGTTTGTTTCCTGGCACTTGCCAGTGGAAGAAGGGGTCATTTTGCTGGCTACAAAGCTACTGGAGGCACAGGGAGGAAAACAAAAACATTCCTAAAGAGGTTCTAGGGGATTTAGTGTGAGGTGTCCCTGCCTATGGCAGGGGGGTTGGAACTTGGTGACCTTAAGGTCCTTTCCAACCCTAACTAGTCTATGATGCTATGATTTTTGTACCCATTAATAACTAAACTTAGATATATATTAGCACCTAGAAGAGGCGCTTTCACAAGCTCTTCTGGGTGCTTGTATCTGGTGGGCTTATAGCTCTAAACACTGACATGACCCTCCCACAGCCCAGTGAGAGCCACAAATCCAGCTTTGAAAAGTACTGAACATTGTGTACAGTATTTTGTTAAGAAAAGGCATTTCCTGTAGAAATAGTCAAAAGCAAAGGGCATGGGGAAGGAGGAATTAGCATCCACCTGTGACAGACAGCAACGTAATTCACTAAAACAAGAACCTTGCCAAAGCCATGCCTGGCACCTGCACAACTACCCGAGGACAAGCTGCATACCTGAATCAAGAACTGAGACTTGTCTCTCCACCCACAGGTAGTGGCATTAATTACAGGACATCTTTTGTTGGAAAGGTACACGAGACCATTCTAACTCCACATGACAAGATTTTATGTCCTTTCATTTTATGGCAGGAGAACAAACTATTCTTAAAGAGCACAAGATGTGAATGACAGCACAGTCTAGCCAGCCAAATTTTTTAAGCTGTAAAAACACATGAAGGAGTGTGACTTCTGCAGTCGCTATATTAGTGACCAGAAATATTATCTATATACTGTGCATATCCATCAGTCAGACTAGCATCAAGCTGCTTCATCAGTCAGGTACCCATCCCGTTCAGTCAGACTAGTATCAAACTGCTTCATCAGTCAGGTACCCATCCTGTTTTGATAACTTGCCCAGGACTCATGCTAACTGTAATGGACTTCACACAGCCAGGCTGCCATAGGGCTGGATTGTTAGCCAGCAGTAATTCCAACTGCAATTACTACATGGACATCAGTAGGTATTATCACTTTCATCAGTAGCAATCCCACAGTACTGTGATCAATGTAGACCTGGCTTGCAGGAGCCCTGCAGATTGCCATGCAGTCTGACACCTTGAGGGTTCACCCAAGGAAACAACTGCCCCAGAACATGTCCTGGCTGTGGCTCTGCAGTCAAACTAACAAACTGGGAAGTAAGGACTGCTCAAGAGCCTGGAACATGTGCCAGGAATGTCCTTTCATTTGCACCAGAATGAATACACTGACACCATCTTTCAAGGGAACAGCGTGTCTTCAGCCTGTAGCCTTGCCTTAAAATAAAGAAAAGCAAAGAGGATTCATCCAAGGACAGCAGCAGGAAGGAGTTCTGCTCCTAGCACAAATACAGACTCCTGCTTCGGAAACATGTGGATTTGTGGCATTTTGCATTTGCCATCTAGAGAGGAAGTACTCAGACAGTTTTCTTCTCATTTAGAGAGATTTTTCGTGGGTTTTATGTCAGAAGTGCTCAAGGGATGGTGAGCTTCTCCCCATGGCAGCAGCCTACAATATCGTCTTAGCGTTAATCTCCTTGTACAGCTTGCTGAAATTCCCTTTTAGCTAAAACGCTAGGAGATGTATATCCTAAGAACAGTAGGTTGGGAGGTCTCAGGCCTTTTCACAAGCAGAATCTGCTTAGCCACAGATAAGGGTTACAGCCATGGGAATGGTGAGTGGAACCACTGAACCAGTTCATCTCAGTTCACCAGTGTCCAATTTCGCATGCCGAAGCACTAAGTAGAAGAGGAAAAGTGGAAGCGTTTTGGATTTCAGAACTGACACTACAGCGTGTTTCAGGCTCCCTCCAAGCAACCAGCAGTTCACTGAATGTCTTCCAAGAACAAACTGAATGGTAGCTGGCATCCTATCCTTGCAAAACTGGCATCCCAGCTCATAAAGCAAACCATCTCCTCTCCTCCCCCCCACCAGCTTTTTCATTACAGCCAGACTCTTCTAATGAAGACACACATTTTGTTTGCCTGCAGTAATGTAGGTACCATTGATGCAATCTCTATAGGTACACATTCCTCAACAGTACTATCAAAATCCAAGCAGTTCTGTGATGTTGGCACTCTCCCTGCTCTCCCAGGGCAGCGGTTTGGTAGCTCTCATTCTTAATTCACGTGGAGGATGCTCTCAGTGGTTACATACTCTTTGTTTCTGAAAACATTGAGCTGACTGAAGAAAAAGCAAAAGGAAGACAAGGTACAACTCCCAGTCACCGATTCTATACTTTATTCCTGGTCACTGCCATCCCTTGATCCATTCCCATCAGCAGCAAGCTGTCTTGTGATGGAAAGCAGTGGGAGAAACTAGACCTGTGCTGCCAAAATTTAACTCTTGGCTTAGGTGTTCTGCCAGAGGTACGGAAGCTCTGTCTTTGCTTTCAGCCTCCATTTAGATGTCCTCTCAATCAAATCCTCATAAAAGATACTGTTTGCAATATGCGCTCTTTTTCTCTCTCTCCTTTTCCAGTGATTTAGCGCAGCCTCATATCTGCTTTAGGGCTTGCAAGGACCTCCATGGGAATTCCTTCACCACAGAGTCAGTAATGTCAGCAGGGTATGAGCAGGACCTGGGGGTGCATTAACTCACCAGCAGGACTGTTAATAAGAAAATGAAACTGATTTATTTTTTAGGTCACTTCTAAAAATACTTCTGGGAATACTCATCTTCCAAAACAACAACAAAAAAAAAATCCATAACCTGCCTAAGCAGCATTCTCATAGGAATCTATTAATTCTATATACATTCAGTCAGCTTCCTTAACATACCACTTCAGCTGTGTTTTGGCACCTGGCAGAGCCACAGTTATTCCTTCACTTAAGGATCACAGAACCAGCCTGGAAATGTTATTCAGAACACGCATTTGCAGTGAATCACCAGGACACAAGGGCGTATTTAAGAGCAAGGCTTTAAGCATAGAGGAATTTAACCCCCCCCATAGATGAATTTAACAGTCTATGTCTTGGCACTTCTGCCAAGATGCTCTGCTGTGTCTCCCATCTCACTCATTTTCTCTCTTGAGCAGTAAGATACTGCTGGTTAGTAGAAATTCAAGCCATGCACATCCATTCTGCCTTTCAGATTTAGGCACGACAGAAGACACCGAGCACCCCTTCCTTATAGAGCACAGAGGAACATCTTGCAACACCCTAATTCCTCTTTTAATGCATGTAATTGTCTTTGAAAATGCAAGTCACCAAAGACTCAGCTTAGAAAAACCAAACTGAATTTCAAGATCAGGAGCTGAAGTCTCAGTAGTGAGAGAACATCCTTCAGACCCCAGGTCTTAAATCTGCCACCACAGACCAGAGAAAGTGAGAAAAATTATCCTGATTCTCCATTAGCACACAAACAACCCCGACTGCTTCTTTGCCTTCCATTTCTGAGGTGTATCTGATCATCAGATCATGGGGCAAGTGACATGCTATATTGCGAGGAATGTAAGCGTCTCATTCCACTGATAAGAGTGTGGAAATAAAAGATAGAGTAATTCAAAGTACTGGATTTCTGCCCCCACACCCAAGTTGACTGAATTGCTCTATTGCTGTGTTGATGGATGTTCGATGCCATGCTTTCTGCATAAGCTAAACATTATGCACAGACTGAACTCAAGCTCCTAGCCTCTTATCAACTTCTATTTCAGCTATTTTGAGCAGATCAGAAGCAGATCGAGTCTCTCAGCTTAACAAAAGCCCAGAGATGGGTTTAAGACCTGTAGCTTATCCTAAATAACACCACAGTCTGAGCAGTCTCTTCCCCAAATCACCATATAGACACATACCTGATGTTGAAGCCAAGGACAGACAAGCAAAAGCATCCCAGTAAGTCTTTCCAAGCCAGATCCTCTAAACAGAAATGCCAAGAGCAGGTCCTAAGCAAGACCCCTCCTTTTAACAGTTTTTCAACTCAAATACTCTCAGCTGTAGCCAGTCCTTTCCCAGGTGGCCCAAGCTGGCTGCTTGACTCTAATCACACCCTGCTCTCTCAATTAGCTGATGAATTTGTTAGCCACATTTCAGCAGTTTGAGGACACAAGGGAAATAGGGGAAAGCTGGTCCCCCACTTGTACACACGTTGCTGTACAACAAGCCAAGTACCGGGATTGTGAGGTCTTTGTACAGCTTGTCTTGTTCTGCCTTTGTGCTACGTGATGCACAAAGGATTCCTGTATGGTTTGTAGGACTCTTGGGCACTGTGTTCCTAAAACACAAATCACAGTAAGCCACCCTCCTGAGCAAAAGCCTCAATCCATAAGAAACTAAGGAAGATGGGACCTTCTTTCTCCAGGGTACTACTGCCACATTTCATGTGAACATAAACCCTTTGACATGGCTGCACAATGCTTCTTCACTTGAAGTATGCTTGAAGAGGATAATTTTATATATCTATATATATAACTCTAACTTACATAGCATCTGCCTGTTCCTCCCTTCTCCCTGCCTTTTCTGAGGGCTTGGCCACAGGAGGGGTTACACACCTTCAGTCTGCACCAAGCCCAGTCCTCAGGACCTGCTACAACTCCCCATCAACAACTATACACACTGAGGCAGGCAAAGCACAGCCTCCTTTTAACACACTGCAGGTACAAAGCACGGGAAACAACTGGTGATATCCATGAAGAGGAGGGAGCGAGCCGGGGGTCCTGTCCCTAGAAACACCATTGCAAAGTCTAAAATATGAAGCTCAGGACCACATTTTGGATCTGGCCTGCAGCTGTGACACAGCAGGCTTTGGAGATAACACATACAAGTTCCAACAGGCCCAGTGCTGCGCAGCCCTGAAGGTCAGAGCCAAGCTTTCAGCTAAGGGGAAGCAAGACAGCTTGTGTTTTGCCTCCTAACAGAGACAAAAGATCAGGGTACATCTGTTGGCATTCAAAGGCCATGTCAAGAGTAAAAGCCTTACTGGTTTTTGGATAAAAATCAAACAGCACAGGTTCTTTTTGGTTTTGCTTTTTTACCTTCTGCTTCCTGAGCATTGATGTCGTGTATCAACAGCACTTCCTGGCTTTCCTCCTCAGCTATAAAATGGCTAGAAACACCCTGGGTTTGAATCAAAGCTGTGTTTCCCACCTGAGTTTACAAGCCAGATCATTAAGGAAGGAAAGGCAACCTCCTGAGAGTCATGAGCAAAACCTGAGAGCTGCACCACTGACATAACCCCTATGAAAGCTAACACTGGAAGTGCTGTTTGCTTGCTTGGTTTTACACCTGCTATGGGTTTTGTTTTCCCCTCCCTTTCTCTGGCTCTTCAGGGATCCACTGAAGATGAGCAGCACATGACTAAAGGCACCTCCTTAATTGAAAGCCAACATCACCACCTGCTGCACTGCCTGGAAAAAACAACTGTAAGTACCAACACAATCCTGTTGCATCTTACTAACTCCTTGTGCCTGGCCCAGGCTTCCTATGGGCAAGGTGTACCCACAGTATGGTCTGGAGTGGCCCTCAGACATACCCAGTAGACCTTAAAACTACACCAGAAGGGGCTGGCACTCAAGCTCCTGATGCAGTGGGTTAAATGCACTTCTATTTCATTGTCCTCTTCAAAAGTAATAACAATCCCTGTGCAAAGGGGTCACAATGTGATTATCTGCTACTCCACCGTCACCTGCACCAGCACCAAGTCGATAGCGAGCTGCTCAGTCAAGTTCACTTGAATGCAAATAACTCTTCAGCGTGGGGTATGGGAGATCCTATAAACACCGTGTACCTTAAGTTCTTCAGTGTTTCTAAAATAGAACTGAGCTGTATTTGTCTTGTGCTGTCAGTCACACATCATATACTTGTCACTTGTGCTAAGTAGCGATAAAGGACAGTTCTGCTGCTTTGAAAGGAGGAAGATGCTGTCAGTGACTCCAAACTACAACCTGGTCACCAGTGCCAACAGGCTCGAAAAGAATTACCTTTAGCCCTTTATATGGCAGATGAACTCTCCTAATGGGCCTAAAGGCTGCACAGATCTTTTCTCAGTACAGTTCTGGTTACAAGAGCAGGTAATTTATCTCAAAGCCAGTCAAGCAGTTTCTGTAAAAGGACTACTCTGTATCATACAAGGTGCTGGGAGTGAGAATTGTGATTTTTCATTATTAAGTGATGTTGTTTGCAAGTCTCTAGAACATTTTACATCTTTATCTGAGACTTATATTTTACTTCCAGGTTTATATAAAAGGTTCTGCAGTAAAGGAATACATTATGAGGTGTCCCTGCCCACGGCAGGGGGGTTGGAACAAGATGATGTTAAGGTCCTTTCCAACCCTAACTATTCTATGATTTTATGACTATCTATACCATGATTCATTATAGAAAGAATGGAGGGAAGTTAACACTTCAAATATTCATGCCTTTTTCTATCTGCATCCATCATCAAATGTACTTTTGATTTCTGACTTGCAAGAGCTTTCTTTTAGATAAATCGCCTTCACTTCCATAGTTTGGCTTGTGCTGGAATAACACCACTTTAGGCTTCAGCGATACACTGGAAGACGACTGGTTAATTACAGTGACCTGCTGAGTGCAGCTGGTTTGTCACAATGAGCTCGAAAGGTCACGATTCCACAGACCGTGAACTGGTTCTTCCTGTATCAATGACTACCGAATTCATTTTATAAGCCTCGTCTTGCCTTGATTTCTACCAGTTTTGGATGTCACATAACAAGCAGATATTTCACAATCTGACTCTTCAGTTTAGAACTTTATGCTTAAAACCATTCCTACCGTGACCCATATTTTACAAGCATAAGTTCGTTTGCAAACTGTAACAAATTGGCTGAAGCAGAAGCTGCCAACGCTGCCTCCGGGTCTGCCCTTGTAAGGCCCCCACATTGTACAAGCTCTGAGCTCTGCGCAGGCAGGTGGACATCTCTGGGAGCTGCATGAGTTGCTCCATTTCTAATGAGCCGGTTCTGTGCTGGGAGTAACACAGCCAAAACACATCCTCATTTGTGGATGCATTAGCCCACCACACTAACGAGGCTGGACTGAGTCCAGCACAAAAACCTACTCAGTGAGTATCATGGTTGAAGATGCCCCAGATGTTGCTCTTTTCAGCAAAGAATGGCAATAACAGTGATACTTTGAATTTTTAATTAAAACCTAGAGGGAGAATCTGCACCGTATTTAATGTGCTTTCCCCCATGTTTTTCAGGCAGTTCTTACCATGATGTTGCATCAATTCACACAACAAGTTTAGATTCTGGTCTGGAATTATCAATCCAAATAGTTTCAGCTTGTGTGGAAATTCCGTAGTTCACATAATCGATTAAAATATATTGAACAGTTCTCCTCCCAAAATTCAAATCATAGCAAAAGAATTTTTCAACTCTGAAGAGTCATTTTGTGACCAAGTTGCAGGAATGGAATGAGGAATGTACCACGGCTGCAAACCTGTTTCAATGGGCAATTCACCTTTCCTTAAACTAGGCAGAAGGATTCTAAAAGTATGTTTATTGTCATGGTATCTGTGGTCATCACTAGCATACAGCCTTACAACCCAGTGCCTGTGAACAGCTCCCAGGTCTGGTGTGCCAGTGACCCTAAAGTACTTCTAGTTGCCATAACTGAGACTACTTTGTCCCATTAACATAACAGATGGAGTTTGCTCAACAAAAGGAGTTGTTTTCCACTCATTCCAACTCTCAGACTGAGTATGGACATTTACATGCCATGTTTTCTCCGAATGCCTAGTGCATTGGATCCAGTCCTTCAGCCCAAACCTTTCTTCTCTGTTTTCACAGAGTATGATCACAACCCATATCCATTGGTGACCCAATGGCAATACAATTCCAATTCACTGTTTGTGAATCAGCAGCTGAAACTTTGTTCTCTTTTGCCTTCGGCTCCCAAAAGATCAAAGCAATAAAGCTGTTACCAATTTTGTTCTATTTCCAAAAATATGACATTAAAAAGCATACGTGTGAAAAGGAAGGAACAAAGTGGTCAGATTGAGGCAAGGTTTGGTAAAGAGAAGGTGCTGTTGCCCATTCAAACTTGAGCAAGCCAGCTGGAATGCTGAGGCAATAGATGCAGTGCTGGGACTAAACTTCTGAATGCTGGTATGGACAATCAATGGTGTTTTTATCTTTTGTTGGCATGTTGTCCCGTAGGGATTGTCCTATCTTGTGGATGATCCCCTGTTATCTGTACGAACTTCCACCATCAAGGTACTTCCTTTTTAATTCAATGTTTTCTCTATGGTCTCTGTGACGTGTCTGGAGAGTGTTTGCTTCCTTTCTCGGTCCTGGTCTTGTCTTTGGGAGTTTGTGCACGTGGCTCTTTTTTGGCTATCCAGTGCTCTTGTCTCCTGTGAGTTGTTATTGTTCCAGTGAACACTGATGCCTGCCTTCACCATGGTTGCTTTTGTTTCCCATCCTTTCCGATGCTGAGAGGGACTGGATAAAGTATGTTCACTAGAATTACTTGGGTGTTCATACACACATATACGAGTTCTTTCTGTCAGGATTTGTTAGCACAAAAGCTCTTGACAGATTCAGCTTTCTGAATTTCCTTCCCCTCCACACTTCCCACTCTCACCTGCCATGTTTATTTCCACTCAGGTAATAGCACCCAACAAAATGCAGGTATGCTTTGAACCCAACAGCCAATACAAGCAACATCCTGCAGTTAAAGTAATGTGCCAAGATGGTCATCGAAACAAAACCCAATTCTGGACCCAGGCACAAAGAAAAAGGAGCATGAATCTCCTCTTGGGTTTCATAACCATGTGGTTATAGCCATTGCAGACTCTGAAGCCACTTCTGGAATCTAGACACAGAAATGAAATTTGAACACAATGTATAAGCTATCTCACACTACATAAGCAAGGCAGCACTGACAAGACTATCATGCCTCTGTCGTAGCCACAGCTTCTTTTATTCCCCTACAGATGCAGGAGAGCAAACTCTTCTCTCGCTTCACTGAGTGAAAGAGCAGAGTCATTTCTCTTTTAAGATCTGCCTAGTGCAAATATTTTCAGGCAGAGAGGCAGAGAACATCTCCCACAGCCAAGGGGCTGACGCATAGCGAAAGGTGCTGTTGAAAACAAGCTGCTGTGTCACAGAGATTAATGGCACTGTTTCTTCCCCCGCCAGAACCACGAGTTCATAGACGAGCAGCTGTTCGAGCAGAACTGCATGGAGAGCTCAATGCAGAACTATCCTTCCTCTCGGAGCCCCTCCTTGTCAAGTCACCACGGCCTGACCACCTCCTGCTGCTCTCGCCGTAACAAGAAGACCACTCACCTTCCCAACTCCAGTGTGCCGGCCACCCGCCTGCGGAGCATGCAGGAGCTCAGCACCATCCACATCCAGTGCAGCGAGCAGCCCTCCCTTACAACAAGGTACAGTAAGTAGGCTCTTGCTGCTAACTACTGCATGCAAACCTCTGAAACACATTATCCAACTGGACGTTCTTGCAGGCCTCTTCTCCAGCCAGGGAGAAGGGGCCAGTGCTGGGAGCATCTTTACTTCTCTCTCTCATGACAACCCAAAAAAAGTGGCTCCTAACTGTTCCTGGAAAGAGCCAGGTCAAAGCTAGACTCTAGTGCAGCACTTCTCTGGCCAGACTGGACACAGAAAAGTGAATTCCAGCTGACCCTGCCTTGGAAGGGCTAATCATGCATGCAGGAGCCAGCAGCTCCCAGCTGTGAGCCACCCACCAAAGCTGGTGCAGGACCAGCCCACCTCCCAAATAGCCCTGGAGCAGAGACAACTGGCTAATGAGTGTGTGTCAGCAAAGGCTGCTAGAGAGCTGTACACACGGACATGGTCCACACCAGGGTCACACCACTGACTTTCACTGCCCTAAAGTCTGAGTCACAACTGTAAGCATCAAGCATCACTGGGAAACAAATAAGGAGGAATTTCACAATGGTGTCTTAGTAGCTCTCACCTAAAAAGCCATTAGCAACACAGGTGAAGTAGCTCTTAATAGAAAAGCCTGAAATTTTCATTTTATACATAGCTTGATGAAAAAAAAATATATATATCATTTCTTCACCATACCTTCCTTGTACATATTAAATTACTTTCTAAATCCCCCTCAGCCCATTAAGCTTTTTGTACAGCAGACTGGCTTTGAGCTTCCCATTCTTCTCCTCCCCAGTCCTATCAAAGGGCTCTAGAAACTGAAATGAAGCTGCCTTTAGGGCAGCAAGCGATTACTTTGTGCCAGGCTGAAGTCAGAATGGAGTTTCAGAGAAAGAACTATGAATGAATACACACAAAACAAGTCTCTAGCTACTGCAGTTTCAAGATGACAATGGCTTAAACCAGCACTTGTGATTCGGGGGAATGTCAACTATTCTGCCTTTGAGCAACCTGCTCTAGTGGAAGGTGTCCCTGCCCACAGCAGGGGGTTGGAACTGGATGAGCTTTAAGGTCCCGTCTACCACAGACCAGTTTGGGATTCTGTGATTTCAGTGGGTCAGATGTCAGTGATATTTTACATGTCAATGCTGATCATTATTTCACTTGCTTACCAAACTGTAAGAATGGCAAGAGGAAGAAAAGCTTTTGAACTGTTTTTCATGTGGAATGCAACTTACTGGGTGTACTGGTTACCACTGGCAGAACCACCCAGTCCCTAAGACTGCCCCACTCTCAGCTTGTGACTGAGGCAACCGGGGAGCAGAATGGGTTCTGCAGTGCTCTTGGGATGCTTGGGCGATCCAGAAACATCCTCTCGGTGAGTCACTCTGAGATAACAACAGCAACAGCTTCCCAACTGGGAGCTTCACATTTTAAAAGGACAGGCCTTGTGTTTAAAATGAACATGTTGGGCTGGTAATAGCAGACTCCTGTAGCTGTGCAGATGCACAGAAACCAACCTATCATTTTCCCCTCTGTAATTAATTATAGGATGCAATTGATGGAGATCTAATAAGAATGCTCCCAGCTGCCAGATCACTGAAACTACTGCAGAGAGATGGAAAAAAATAGAGAAGATCAAGGGAGAGTGAATTTGAAAGAGGCATTTGAAATGCAAGAAAGACAACACCTCTTTCTCAGAAAGAGCTACCTGTGCTCTCACAAGATGCAGTGCACAGGACAGTACATTTAGATGCCCTCTTAAGTAAACTAGAATTACGCAAGAATGAAACAGAAACATAGAACGATTTACCCTGTGAAAAGCTGTACCCTAACTTTGGGGAATACTAAAGCAGCTTAGTGTAATCTGGGTAGAAATAAATGATGCCTTGAAGGGACTGGGGGGAACATTTAAGTGGAGCCTTCTGAATATTTCAGTACCCTTAGTTCAGAGGAATAAGATGCTCATTAAGAACAAGTCCCATTCGCATCCTCTCTGCTGTCTGGTTCCAGAAAGTACAAAAGCCAAACACTAAATTTGTTTTCTAGTCGTTCCAGTCTCAACATGAAATCAGATGATGGGCTGAGACCGAACTGCAAAACTGCCCAGATAACAACAGCCATCATCAGCATCCCCACGCCACCGGCACTCACGCCAGAAGGTGAGAGCAGACCTCCACCCAGCAGTCCTGGCCACGCCACGAACATTCCCACCACCACCACCACAAGCAACATAGTCAAGGTCTCTGCCTTGTAAGACGTCTCATGCACAGAAGGAGGCTGGAAGACCAGTGCCCCTCTCCCTCCACACCTCCATGTTCCTTTCTTGCTGCAAATTGTGCCTGGATGGACCAACCTGACATTTTGTCATCGAATTAGCAATGGAGACCTAACGAGGCAGCTTTCTCCAGACTCGTGTCATGCTGTGGACTGAGGAAGGATTAGGAAAGGGAGGAAGAGGCTGGTTAAAGGAAAAACCTGCACTGAGAGCGGGTTGTGCCATGGTACAGGGCAAAAATCACCTGCAGAGACTGGAGGGAAAAAAATCATCATGGCAACAAGAGAGTCAATAAAGAGAATGGGAATATAACACTGTGTATCGCAGCACCTTTTTAAAGGTTTTTAATGGATAATATTTATTCATGAGGAAATGACTGAAAAGGTGAAAAACAATGGATTTTGTGAATTTTTTTTTTTTCTTCATGGAGCAGAACCTTTAAACCAACCAAAATTTCACATTTTGGTTTTTTTTTCTTTTATAGGAAAAGCTATAGACAAAGAAGCCACCTGGCACAGAAACCTATTCCATTCCCGTGTGTGTGTGCGTGCGAGTGTGCAGCACAACCCCTGAGTTACCCAGAGCAGAGCATGTGCCCATGATTGGCTGCACAGTAGGAAAACCCAAGCACGTGTCAGCACACCCACGGGCACACACACACACACCTACTCCACCCTGGATGGCATTCTTTATTTAGCCAATTTTGTATCCGCCTTTTAAGTCAATACAGTGCAATTGCAAACAGTGTGTTTGTCTGCTAATTATTGTCTGTGAAAACATATTTGTGCAACAAAAAGAAAAAAAAACAACAAGAAAACAAAAAAAGACAAGCTTTAGTAGAGTTTTAGTCCCACAGGGGGATCTGCTTTCTGATTTTGTTATCACTTACTTGTAAGAGTGTGACTAGATTACCAGTTCTGTATTTTTAAACAGGAAAACAATAAAATCCAAGGTAGGATTCTTTTTTAATCCTGGACACACAAATGGCAAAGAATGAGAAAGCACCGAGCTCAACTGCATCACGCCTTCATCAGGCTGACAGAGGTTTCTTGTAATGTATGCCCATGGGGTTTCATTTTTGGTTTCTCTAGATCAATTTCTTTGCTAGCACTGGATATACAACCTATTGTAAATAGTAGCCAAATAATTTCTGGATCTATACTTGATAATAATTAACCCCAGGGCCAAATATCTTGCATGGACAGAGAGGTATTTGGCTTTTTCACAGTCTTAGGACTCCAGCTGTCTCCAATGGCTTTCTGGGTTGCATTGATTTTGGGGGTAGACTAGGTTTGCGGTTTTATTTCTCCAGTCCCAGCATAAGATCTACAGCATGCATCCACTTGAGAAGGGGGAGCATTACTGGAGTTTGGAAAACACTTGATCGAGTGTGGTACAGACAGCAATTTCTTTTTGCAGTTCTACACTTAGTTTGGGAAAAGTCACACACTTCCAGTGAACCAAAACCTGCAGCAACACCGTGTGGTACTGCCAAGGAGCTGACACTTCTCACTAAGCTGTGGTCAGTCCCCACACCTCTTTCTGAGATCTTTCTAGGAATGATATATTGTAAGGAAACAGTTCTGAAACACAACTGGTTTTCCCCCCCATTGAGTAACATTTTCCTTCCATTCTGCCTTTCTCAAGTCCCCTTTTCATACCAGGTAGGACCCACGAAGGGCAGAGTGAGGAACACCATCACCCAGCTTTCCATCTCCCATACACTTTGGCTAATTACTGTGGTCATGCACAAACGCCTCTTCAGGGCCCTACATCCCACCCAGGAATAGTGATGCACCCAACAGCTTGTAGATAATAACTGAATATTTTAAGTGTCCTGTTTCTGAACAGTGATTTTACCAACACTGGAGTTAAAAGAACTACATGAAGCATGTTTTAGGCTGATTCAGCAAAGGGATGGCTTTTTTTTAACATCTGTCATAATCTATCCTGATGTAATATTTATATACACATATACATGCATACACATATAAATAAATAGGAACATACATGTATAGATAGATAAATAGACCTACATGCTGACTTAAACATGCAAGCTAGCAATGTGCTTTATTAGCACTCCTAACCTAGTCTAGAGAACAGACTCGGATGGCTGATGCATTAACTCAATAGCCTCCTTGGAAACCTACCACATCCTAGGAATATTAGGGCTATGGCTAAGCCTTCAGTAGCTGCACCAGCTTATAGTCATTTATTCCAGTGCTGTAATATGTTATCCAAAACTACGTTTAGTCCTGTTTTAAATGATTAAAACGCTCGGCCTTTGCTGCTTCCTGTAGGAGGTTATACTGCAGTTAATCTTACCACGATTGAGTTTTTCTTGATGTTTTAATTTATTCTTTGTTTTAATTTCATTATTTGTCATCACCTCCTCCCCATCTGAACACCCTCATTCTTGTAGCTCAGAGCCCTTGCTCTCCACCACTCACCACCTTGCAACCTCATCAACACTGGCACAGAATGAGGGTTAAATGTGACCATGCTGACTGGGCGCAGTGCTCCTTCCAGTGTGCAGGAGTACATGATTACAAAGAGCCAGGGACTCACCATGGACTCTCAGTGCTGCCTTTCTTATTCCTGATTTACTGTGGAGTGGTAAACAAACCACTTCATCTCCCTGCACCCATTTGTCTGTAAATAGCAATCACAGCAGCCCTTGCCTGGAGCACTATTGGTGTGTTTAATTGCCATCAATCCAGATGCTTTTTGGAAAGAAGAGAAAAAAAAACATTTTTAAGAGGAAGATAAAAAAAAATAAATAAATAAGGAGGAAAGACAGTCCCTGGCTGCTTGGGCTCAGGTTGTCAAGGCAGCCATGGCCTTTGTTCTCTTCCACAGAAGAGGAATCATTGTTATCCTTGCTCAAAAATATATGGCTTGCCTCTTCTACCATTAATTTAGCAGGTGCTGCCCCATGCCATCAGTACCTCAGCACAGACCTTCAGAAGATAAAGACAGACAAAATTAAGGCAGTCTGAGCTTAGAGGAACAGGGCTAAAAATATTTTTAATGAAGGCATTAGCTCCCTTTATACACTGATTTGAAGTAGACTGAGTAATGCTTCTGAAAGCTCTTGAAAATATGCTAGTACAAAACCTCCCTGCATCGCCCAACACAGCTACATCCTCATTATGAGAGCACTGTGCATTCATGGAAACAGCAAAGACAAGAATCTCTCGCCACTGGATCAGTGGTTGATAGGGCATAACACAGCATCCTTCAAACAATGCAGGGAAGAATGGAAGAGCATGGGAGCTGCACTACAGCCTCTTATTCCCACAATGACAGGAGGCAATTAGCTTTACTGAAGTGCACTTTATAATAGTGAAACAGCAACTTATAAACCATCTTTGCAACTTAAAAACTAATTTAGCAACCACCCCAAAGGATGTTGTAGTGAGGTAATCGGTCTCTTCTCCTAAATAACAAGCAAGAGGACAAGAGGAAATGGCCTCAAGCTGCACCAGGGGAGGTTTAGATTCGATATTAGGAACAATTCCTTCCCCAAAAGGTGCTCAGGCACTGGAACAGGCTGCCCAGGGCAGTGGTGGAGTCAGCATCCCTGGAAGTGTTCCCAAACCATGTAGACAAGGCCCTTAGTGACACGGGTTAGCAGTGGCCTTGGCAGTGCTGGGGAACAGTTGGACTTAATGATCTTAAAGGTCTTTTCCAACCTAATTGATTCTATGATTCCTGAAATAAGTCACTCCTGAAAATTCCTTGGCCAAAACTTTAACTGAAGGATTCGGGCTGTTCTCTCCACGACTGCCAAGTGCTGCCCTACCTGACCAGCACCCCTTTGCCCTTCCCCAGGGCCACACGCACGCAATGACACTATATCCAAACCAGCACGTATCCCTGCAATCCTGCTCAGTCCTGATGCACATGGAAGGAAGGGGGCTTCTCCAACTGGTGGAAAAGCATCCAGCAACTTAGGTAGATTCTAATCCTGACACCTTTCTGAAAGGCAGGTGGTATAAAACAGCCTGATCAGCAAGACTGCTCAACAGAGTGTCTCTAGTACATTGGCAGTTCCTTTCAAAAGCCTTCCCTCTCCCTCTAATTCCTTACCACTTTTTATAGTTTTAGAGAAGTTCATCAAGAATAAATAAAACCAGATTGTTTGTACAAAAAGCATGCGGAAGGGGATTATTTTTTCAGTCTTTCATAAAGCAGTATTAAAAATATCACAGGAGCAAGACATTTTGTTCCCTTTCCAAAACGTTTTCTGAAGCAAACCTATTTTCACAGATTTTCAGCATATTCTAGTAGTAGATTTACTCTCTCTACACCTGGCAATAGGCTGCTAATAGAAGGAATCACACCCAATTGGCAAAGAATGATGAGAAATAGCTTCTACATCCAGGCTTTGACTTCAACCTAGTCCTTCTGAAACCCACCTTTTATTATCATTTTCCTTAAAAGATCTTAAGGACACCCACAAAGATGAGGCCGCAAAAAGAATTCAGAAAAGCAATCCCTCCTCTGCCTGCACAAGATCCTTCACTGCAATAGATTGTGTTACTTTCTCTAGATTAGATTTAAAACTCTCCAAGGAAAGGACTCTGACTGCTTCCCTGGAGAACTTATTCCAGGCTGATAGATCTTAATGCCAAGGATTTTTCCCCTGCTGTTCAGTCATAATTCCTTCCTTGTTTTTCCTCTCTTGCTCCCATTGTACATCCTCAGCACATTGTAAATTAGCTGCCTACCAACAGAAGAATTCTTATCCTGGGGACTACTTTTGTCTGTCAAATAATTATCATTGTTAGAAGTGAACTGGGGAAAGGTGAACCAAGTAACAAACACAGCTTTAGCATGGAATAAAGCTAACAGGGAATTCAAAATACATCTTTCTTTACAGCTGGCCAAGAAATACCAAATTTGAATCTATGCTGCTTGTTTAACCTGAAATAGTCAAAAATACAAACTGCAAACCAGCATTTCTCATTCTAGTTTAGACAGCTTCAGGTGTGTGCATGAAAATCAGATTAATCCCAGCTAAAGCAAGCAATGTTTCTTCAAATAGTTTGCTTTTTTAAGTAAAGAGGTTGTAAATATGTGGTACCTTACATGTATTATACAGCAAATTCAGTGAATTAAAAATCACATTTCATTTATGGGTTGCACCATCCCTTGGATCCTGTAATATTTTGTCTATGGCAGAGTTACAAAGTCAGCATTCATGGATGGCTTGTGAATACCAGCAGCTTTGAACTGAAGATTTTATTTTGCTTCTAAAGTAAATGGTATAGATGATTAATATACCTTTTCCATATAATTTACCAAATGTATCTTAGTTGAGTAAAAAAAGAGAACACTTATTTTTCTCCAACACTTTGAGCAACTGCACTAGATACATGATTTCAGAGCTCAAGTTTTTAGGCTTCACATTTAATGATGCCAGAAACAATCTTCATAAAGGTTTAGTCTTTCTAAAACTTTAAAAGCCAACAGAAGGCAGTGTGCATGCTGATTAGAGCTAGGAGTCAGCATCTGTGTTCTAGCAACCTGTGTTCTACTCCTGTCTTGATGAATCACTAAGTGACCTCGAAGAAGTCATTTCACCTCTCTGCCAATTACCCAAGCTGTAGAGAATTTAATACCTCCTCCTTCAGTAAGTGAAGCTCAATTCATGAACACCTACAAAACACCAGAGAATACTGGGGAAAGCACACCAGAAAAGTACTGCTACTCATGTTCAGAATGCAAAACTGTGCCAGAAA